GAAGAAAACTGTTGCAGCAAAGTATGAAGTAATGCACAGCAAAACTAAAGTTAGTGTCAAAAGTGTGAAACGAAATACTGATGAACCAGAATCTCAGCAAAATTTTCATAGGCCAGTCAAAGTCAGAAAAAAACAAGTTGATAAGGAGCCAAAGATTCAGAGTTGCAATTCTGGGGTTAAATCTGTGAAAAACCAAGCTCATTCTGTATTGAAAAAAACATTACAGGATCAAACTTTAGTACAGATTATCAAGCCCTTAACTCACTCTTTGAGTGATAAGCCACATGCTCATCCTGTTTGCTTGAAAGAATCTCATCATCCTGCACAAACTGGACATTTAGCACATTCCAGCCAGAAACAGTGTCATAAGCCTCAGCAACAGGCCCCAGCAATGAAAACCAATAGTCACATGAAGGAAGAGCTTGAACACCCAGGCATTGAGCATTTTAAGGAGGAAGATAAACTGAAACTGAAAAAACCTGAGAAGAACCTACAACCCCGCCAAAGAAGAAGCAGCAAAAGTTTTTCTTTAGATGAGCCACCATTGTTCATTCCAGACAATATAGCTACCATAAAAAGAGAAGGCTCTGATCATAGCTCTTCATTTGAAAGCAAATATATGTGGACTCCCAGCAAGCAGTGTGGATTTTGCAAAAAACCCCATGGCAACAGGTGTGTGTGTTTGTGTGTATGAGTGATGTGTTGAAGAGAAATTGAAGAGAAACTGCTTTTTGAGGGGTGGGAGTAATGTGAGAATTTTTTAATAGACAAATCATTTGATACACAGAGACTTGTGCAAAACAGTCTTGAAGAGAAATTGCTTTTTAGGGGGTGGGATTAATGTGAGAATTTTTTAATAGACAAATTATTTGATACACAGAGACTTGTGCAGAAACAAAAAGCTTCAGTCTTGGATAAATGATAGATGGATCTACTGAATTTACAAATAAATTATTCCAGAACATTTAAAAAAGCATATCTGGCCAACAGCTGACATACATGGAAATATTTTGTCGTCGTCACAGGTTAGACAGTGTTTAATATAACCACGGCATGTGGGAAAAAAGCCAAATACTTTCTGGTAATTAGAAACTTGTTATGCTGCCTTGGGTCTGTAAGTTATATATTATTTCTTCAGTGTGAGAAGAACTGGTAATAAACTATGAAGGTCATAATGGAAATTTTTAAGTTTTTTTTCTTAAAGTGAAACACATTAAAGACTTAATACCACCATTTCAAAACCATCAAACTTTAGCTTACAGTGAAATTTGGTAGCTAAACAATTGTTAAATTACCCAGGTGAATTTTATATGTAACACGGAGTAGAGTGAAAACGTATATTTCTTTTTTTTTTTTTAATGTTTTCAATAATTTTTTGTGAATTCTAATCTTTTAAAATTTTAGAGATGATTTTAGCACTAATATTCATCATTCTTTTTAGTATTCAGTGATTTGTAGTTTTATGACACTGCACCCCCCCAATCCCCAATGTGTTTTTTTGCTAGCTTTTTAAGAAAAGGAAAGCAAGAGATGAAGTGGAGTTGGCAGCTACGAGATTATCGTGTTCAAGTGTTCATATTGCTGTTGGAACTTCTATCAACGCTGATACGATAAAAGAACATCATAATTTTTATACTGTATAAGAATATAGTATCTTTATTCATGAAAGTGTGTGTTAGAGTGATTTTCTGCAGTACTATCTTACTACATAAAAGTGAAACTCTTTAGGGAGGGACAATTTAGTAAAGTATGTTGTAACATTATTTTGGTGGTGGTAAGGTGATTGGGGAGCTTGGAAAGGAGATGTTGGGGCTATTGTGTAACATTAAGTTTTATGTCAAAGTATATTTCTTCATTTATGATCTCGCCCATGGCCTATTTTTAGTGTTAAGGGTTAGTTTATAACAATATATTCCAGTTTTTAAAAGATGTCACAGTGCTACATTCGCTCATACATGCTTTTAATTATATGGTTTTTAATTTAAAATGCCTTACTCTGCTGGGCGCGGTGGTGCACACCTGTAATCCCAGTACTTTGGGAGGCCGAGGTGGGCTGTGAGCAGATCACTTGAGGTCAGGAGTTCGAGGCCAACCTGGCCAACTTAATGAAACCCTGGCTTTACCAAAAATACAGAAGTTAGCCGGGCATGCTTGTGCATGACTGGAATTCCAGCTACTTGGGAGACTGAGGCATAAGAATCACTTGAAACTGGGAAGTGGAGGTTGCAGTGAGCTGAGATTGAGCCACTGCACTCCAGCTGCCTGAAAAAGTGAGACTCTGTCTCCCCAAAACTAATTAACTAAATAAAATGCCTTAGTGAAATGTTCTAAAGTGAGCCTGCTGTTTTCAGGCCAAAAAGAATTAAGAGTGAGGTGTGCTTTTAAGTGTTCCTTTAGACCAGCCTTTTTCTCTCTGCCGGAATCTTTCAATTACCATACTGTCATGTGGACAGAGATGGAATAGGAGCCTTAAGTAAATGAATTTCTAGAATGAAACTTTGGCATAGAGTTGGAAGCCATATTAGTAAGTTGTAATGTAACTTACTTTGTAGATAAACTTCCAGTCTAGTCTTCAGGAGTTTCCCCAGACTTTTTAATGATAACTCTTGCATCACCAACGTTTAATAGTTAATTTTCCTAAATTGAAGAGTAGGTGTTAGTCCCTTTGTTGTTGTTTATCTTCTGCCACCTTCCGGATCTACTGTATAGAATAATCTAGAGTTACGGAATGTTAGGTGCATAGGGATTTTGGATTCATATTCTCTAATTGATCTGAATAATATATATTAACATTGGAAACCATTTTGGAAGCATCCTTTTCGATTCTTTAATAGGCTATGTAATTATTTTTTTTTCTTTTTTCGTTTGAGACTAAGTCTCACTCTGTTGCCCAGGCTGGAGTGCAGTGGTGCCATCTCGACTCATTGCAACCTCCACCTCCTGAGTTAAAGTGATTCTCCTGCCTCAGCCTCCTAAGTAGCTGGGATTACAGGCAAGGGCCACCAAGCCTGGATAGTTTTTATATTTTCTTTTTGTAGAGACGGGGTTTCACCATTTTGGCCAGGCTGGTCTTGAACTCCTGACCTCAGGTGATCCGCCCACCTCAGCCTTTTAAAGTGCTTGGATTACAGGCACGAGCCACTGCTTGTTTTTTGTACGTGTTAACTAGCCTTCACTACTACTATGATCCTATTGCTTTGATATGTTGTGCTTATATACATTTCCTTTACTCAAAAAATGCACGTGTCATGCAGCATGTAATTTTCCTGTTTTAATCCTTATGTAAGAATTTAAATCCTTATTAGAAAGTGCATGTTTTGAAATAATTTCGATCCTTTGATTTCATGTGCTAGATATGTTGAAAGCTGTTAATATAACGTATTTTCTAGTAAATTTTTTTTACAGCAGCTTTGCTTCTGTAAAGACTGTATTAACTCTGTCATTTTGCATATTGCAGCTGAAGTTAGCTTCCTTGTGTGTGCTCCCAGGTGGAAATTATATTTTGTAATATTGCTATTTATGTCATGCCCAGATGTGATTCTGTCCATAAGCAACTTCTATACTTATCCTAAAGACAATAGACTCTTAAAGAATCAACATATCATGCTAGGTTTTGATTACTTCCATTTATTTATCTTCCTGATTCAGCCTTATACCAAAAGTACATGATTTTAAAGACTAGATTATTTAATCCTCTGATTTTTTAAGTTAATGTGGCTTTTGAACTTGTTTTAAACATAAGCCAGTTGGCATTTTGTAAGGAGGAAATCTTAGTTTTTTTCTTATTATCTATCTTGTGGTTTCTGTTTTTCTACGTCTCCAAAAGATGCTTGAGTTTTTAGTTTGCATTATACTTTCTTGGCCCCAATTGTAGAAGATTAGTATATCAGATAATATTTAAAAAACAAACAAACTTAGAAAATGGATTTATAGCTTTCAAACAAAACTTCTGAGAAGAAATTTTCTTATAGAACATTTGATTCTATTTTTCTCCCCAGATTAGATTGTTAGTAACAGAAATGATTTAATATTTATGTGAAATAGAATTCTTTCATCTTAGAATAGCTAGTACGTGTATGTGTGTGTTTGTGCTCGCGCTCTCCCTCTCCTCCTCTCCTCCTCTCCCCCTCTCCCCCTCTCCCCCTCTGCCCCTCTCCCCCTCTGCCCCTCTCCCCCTCCCCCCCTCCCCCCCTCTTCCTCTCCCCCTTCCCTCCTTCCCCTCCCCCTCCTTGTCTGTTTAAGGGAACACCAGAACTGGAGGCCCATCTTGGAATTCCTATGAAGTTAATTAATTTGTAATGAATTTGTTAAGAGAGGAGTTCTCAATGTTATGTCTGTAGTTTACTTTGAAAACCTTTAAAATTTTGCTCATGCTAAAATGATAATAGTTTTTAATTCTTTTTAGTAGATCTAGTTTAATTTTTTATTTTTAATTTTGTATGTGAACATGTCACAGTAGGGAAAGACAACGTAAATACTGCTAATAACTCTTCTAATTACATGATTCATACTGACTTGGTCCAGTTAATTGATCCACAGCCGAACTCTACACAACATTAATTTTGTTGTAAAAGATTTAACATCTAGGCTGTAGCCTTTTTCTTATTTCCTCTTGGTAATTAGAAAGTTAAGGATGGGGCAGAAAATGGTAGAGCAATTGTTAGCTACAGCCACTCTAGCAACTCCCTCTGTTACTCCATGCTTCCTACCTTCCCATGTTTGTAAAGTAGAGCAATAGCATGAAAAGGAAAGAAAATATAATCTTTTTATGTGATAGGCCATCTTTTTTTCTTTTCTTTTTTTTTTTTTTTCTGAGACGGAGTTTCGCTCATGTTACCCAGGCTGGAGTGCAATGGCGCGATCTCAGCTCACCGCAACCTCCGCCTCCTGGGTTCAGGCAATTCTCCTGCCTCAGCCTCCCAAGTAGCTGGGATTACAGGCACGCGCCACCATGCCCAGCTAATTTTTTGTATTTTTAGTAGAGACGGGGTTTCACCATGTTGACCAGGATGGTCTCGATCTCTTGAGCTTGTGATCCGCCCGCCTCGGCCTCCCAAAGTGCTGGGATTACAGGCGTGAGCCACCGCGCCCAGCCGATAGGCCATCTTTTTAAAAAAAAGTTGACCATAAGCAGCTTCTATACATATCCTAAAGACAGTAATTTTTTTTCTTTTTTGAGATGGTGTCTTGCTCTGTCAGGCTGGAGTATAGTGGTTCGTTACTTCCATGTTTTAGACCTCAAAGTGATCCATATATACATTTTTGGAGTATATATGGAGTATAAAAAGTGTATATGGAGTATATTTGGAGTATAAAAAGTAAATCTATCTCTAGGATGTGGAAATTTTTGTCAAGATCATTTTTTTCTTGATTTCTCAGAAAATTTTATGTAACTTTTTAATCTAAAATATAATCTATTAAGGTACATCTGTAGATGGCACTAGAGTTTTACTTTTTATAACCTCTCAAGTTTGAATAAGACATTGCCAAAGTAAACTGGAAATGAGGCTTATTGAAATAGTTGCTTAATAAAGTTTATGATCCTCAAATGGCTCTTTCCTGGTTGTCAAATAAAAATTGAAAATTCCTTAATATGTGTTATATTTTGACCTTTAGGTTTGGATTTGGGATAAGAACATGATTTGTACTGTGGGTTTTTAAGTCATGTCTCACTGAAACTCCCAAACTTGCTTTGAAGAAATCTTAATATACCTTTGATTGTGGAAGTAAAGGGAAATAATTAGCTTTCCTTCAGTATTTCAGAAGTATTCACGTTAGACGGTTGCTTTCAAGAAATAGCAGTTAACCTATTAGGAAAGCTGCAATGCTCATTACAAATAATCATCTTTAATATTTTGACTTTGCAACCTGAAGTGGAAGAACTTTCAAACACCTGCATTTAAAACTTTATTCCCCTTTTGCTAGAATATCTGTATCATTATGGGCCTATCAAAAATCTCAAACCTGGAGGAATTATTTCTGCCTTGCAAATGTATGTCACATATGAAAGTTTTCTTTCTTGTCAACCCCAAATATTCTATATTATTTTTTCAAACCAAATGAATCCCTAGGAAGATGAGCACTTAACCTGATAAAGCTAGCACAGGCATTACCGGCAAGGATAAAGAATGGTAAATTACAGATGTCATGAAGTCAAGTCTCCCAGCATAGCAGTGGTTTTGTACACAATAGGCACCTGAGGAAGTCGAAAAGGAAGTGCTGCTACTGAGGAATAAGGTGTCTGGCAAGAGTTTTTAAAAACACTGTAAGGATTATAACTCACCGTTGCAGTTTTTACAGTTGTAACATTAAAATAGGACCTCTGATATATTTTAAGTTGGCTTTATCATCCAGTGTATTACCTTCAGTATCCTCTCTCGGACTACAGCTTTTTGAAAGGAGTTTGGCACTATTGGTAGTGTCACTATTATTAAAATCAGTAGCACAGTCTTTAGATTATTAAAGTACATTCCTAAATTTTTCTAAGTCCAAGTGTATTGTAACTTGCTAGCCTGGAGAAGGAAAAAAAGACAAAAGTTAAGGATGATTGTTTTAGCATTGCAGCTTTCCTAACAAGGGTTAAAAAGCACGTAAATTAAATTGCTGTGTATATCTCATTTGCCATTATTTTCAAAAGTTGTTATTGATACTCCTTTTTAAGTGGGAAGATAGAAGCTCTTTCAGAGTCATAAATCTCACATCCCTTTTCCTGTTGGCTAGTGAAGTTACTACTTAGCTAAAAGATGATGGGAAAACTTTTATAGGGAGACTGGAGATTGAATCCATACCAAATAGTAACATTTTTATGTTAGGATATTGATCTTTATTTGGGAAAACAAGTTTAAAACACGTGGTCATTAGTAGGGAAGTCCTTTGAACTTCACAGTACAGTAAAAGATTCTTTAGGTAAGTCAGTGTGACACCATGACCAGAATGTTTTGAGGTTACCTAGTTAAGGTGGTTAATACACAGTTTGAGAGGTGCCATCTTGTTAGTTTTTGAGTTCTGTTTTTGTTGCTATTATCTTTTATTTAAAATGATTTGTTGGATAATTATTCCCAATTTTATTTATGATTTCAAGTCTGTGATGAGGTAGCTGTAACTTTGATGGATTGTCTGATGAAATATTACTGAGATCTTATAACCCGTCTCAATGGGGAAATACATTGTTAGTCTATACTTTGTTGTTGTTTATACTATTCTAGACTGACAAAGGCTAGTTGTCTATTCTTCGGTTTATTGTTCCCTCCCTCCGCTAGCATTTTCTCATTCATACCAGAAAGGAAATATTTGAGGTCTTAAAAGGTATCACTTTAATAGAATGTTATTTTGAAAACTTGGTGTATGTTGAACTTATGGAATGGATAGAGTTAGAAAACATGCAAAGTTTCAGAAAATCAAATATTGAAAATTTATTTTAGCCTTATTTTTGATACTGATTTTCCTCTTAAAAAAAGGTATCAAAGTTTTTTGGTGTTTTATTTTCCAGGTTTATGGTTGGCTGTGGGAGATGTGATGACTGGTTTCATGGTGATTGTGTTGGGTTAAGTCTTTCTCAAGCACAACAAATGGGCGAGGAAGACAAAGAATATGTCTGTGTAAAGTGTTGTGCTGAAGAAGACAAAAAGACTGAAGCATTAGATCCAGATATTTTGGAAAGCCAAGCTACAGTTGAAGTCCATAGTGAAGATAAAACAATGGAGTGTGAAAAGCTTGGATTATCAAAACACACAACAAATGATAGAACCAAATATATAGATGATACAGTGAAGCACAAGGTCAAAATTTTAAAACGGGTGAGCGCTTCATTAATGCATTATTTTGTTTAAGAGCTTTTAGTATGGACTGACTGCATTAATTTTGAAATTTCTCATTAGAAGTTTTAATGTTCTTTTACATTTAAAAATTTATTTTTCCATAAAAGTGAATAGGTTTTTATTTAAATTTTTTGGCAATCTTGGTGAAACCAGTTAGTGACTTTTAGAATATGCATGTCTTATCTCTTGTAGTCACTCATGCTATTTCTAGCCTCTAGTTTGGTACTTGAATTTTCTGTTTTAGGGTGTGTGTCAATCTTGTGGGTTTAAGTGTAAATTATGCTTGCTAATTTTTTTTTATTGTACTTTATTTTCTGGGGTACATGTGCAGATCATGCAAGATTGTTGGGTAGGTACATTCATGGCAAGGTGGTTTGCTGCCTCCATCTTCCCATCACCTGTACCTGACATTTCTCCCCACATTATCCCTCTCCACCCTCCTTTCCACTGCCCCTCCCCTAGCTCCCCACAATGGACCACTAGCTTGCTAAGTTTTTTTTTTTTTTTAAAGCTTTTCAATTCATAAATATCTACTAGCGTTTTGATAATTTGGGATTATTTTTTGACTACTTTCTGAAAGTATTTTCTAAATAGAAATTTCAAGATATTTCGGCTTTAATAGGAGAAATGTATAAAGGACACAGCATTTTATCTTATTAAATTTCCTTGACTCATTGTACACCTTTTTATTACCTATTAATTTTTTAATCATTAATTTGTTATTCTTGAATACTTCTAGAAAGGAAACACAGTGGCAACAAATGTATGTGAGTAGGCAAGTATAATCCAAAATACAAAGAACATGAATTTTAGAGTTGGGACTTTGGAAATCTTTTAGTCCAACCATTTTGATTTATTAATATGCCCTACAACATTTCTAGGAAGTGATTCTCTAGTTTCTCTTTGAAATCCGTTGCAAAGGGATACATCTTCATCTTTAAGCACCTCTATTTGTTAGAAAGTTCATCAGTTTGAGCTGAAGTTTGCATCCCTGAATTAAAGCCTCCTTGTTAAAACTAATTTCTGTACAACATGGTATGGACGTTAATTTAGGTTGAAGAGCATGAGCATGTGTTCTCCAGAATCTTGTCTATTATTTACAAATCCATTTCTTTCAGGCATTCCTTGTATGACAAACCTGGATTAAGTTCCAGTTTGCCGTATCCTTGTGGCATCGAATATTTTTTGTCTCTCAAGACTTTTTGAGAATCAGATTCTGTCCCTTTGATACATGTTATTACTTTGTTGATGTGATCATCAAAGTAATTGATAATATGGATCTGAGCCACAGTGAGAACAGGTTATAGCATGTCTTTGGAAAACTTCTATTTATTATTAACTAGCATTAATAATCACCTCTATGTACAACTTCTTGGCCATTTAAAAGTATAGCTAATTGTATTGTCCAGTAGCTAAGTTGTCTCTGTCTTGCTTAAAAAGATTATAAAGGCTGGGCATGGTGGCTCACATCTGTAACCCTAGCACTTTGGGAGGCGGGGACGGGTAGATCGCTTGAGGTCAGAAGTTTGAGACCAGCCTGGCCAACATGGTGAAACCCTATCTCTAATAAAAATTCAAAAATTAGCCAGGTGTAGTGGCGGCGCCTATAATCCCAGCTACTCTGGGGGGTTGAGGCAGGAGAACTGCTTGAGCCCAGGGGGCGGAGGTTACAGTCAGTCGAGATCGTGCTACTTCACTCCAGCCTGGGCAAGAGTGAAACTCTGTCTCATAAATAAATAAACAAATAAACAAACATTAACAATTGTTAATATTTTGAGAAAGCCCTCTATCCAGTCTGTATCAGAAAAGAAACTGAGGTAAGTCTGATTCTGCAAATGCATGTACCATCCAAGTGATCACTACCTCCTTTTCTTGTTGTGAACTGTTGACTCTTATTTGGACTTGTCTGATGTTAGTTTATGAAATCTGCTTTTCTTATCCTTGGATTTTTATGTTGAACTGTTTATTGAGTTTCTGTTGTATGGCATAGCACTGCCTGCCTTGGGTGTATAATATTGAAGCATGTTCCTACTCTCAGGAATGTCTAGTTGCAGAGGCAAAAAACAAAAAAAAAAAATAGAGGATTCTTAGTCTAGAGAAAAATCACTATTTTGATTGTACCCTGTTTTAAAACCTGATGATATATCTGTCTATATGGCATTCCTCTCCCTGTCTTTTAGGCACATTAGCAGGATGTGATTACTGTCTCCCAAGTGTCTCAGAATTCCAGTTTTACTAGTAATTCTTGGTGGATTGTAACTAGAACCAGAGTGTCAGGTACTCTGAGGGTTTATTTTACCTCAAGGGAATTAAAATTGTCATTAGGCACACTGAGAACTTAAATTGATACACTTACTGTTAGTGAACTTAATTTCATTTGTTTTAGAAATACACTGAAAAATATAGATACTTGTTTCTTCACAATTTCCTTTTCCTTTTTCCATATCCACAGCCAAATAAGAGAATTCTTACTACCTTATTTTTAATTTTCTTTCTACTAACGGTATTGGGAGCATGATCTCTAGATCTTTGTTTCCGCTTTATAAGCTATTATGTGTTCTATGCACAGTAGGTGCAGAATAGATTTTGAATGAAAGAGTGAATCTCATTTTACTAATAATCAAGAGTTATTTTTGTACATCTTACAAAACATTTAAACACTTAACTGGGCCAAAGAATGGACTATGTTTGCTATATTAATAGGTTGTAATATTAGGTCTGATTTTTTTTTTATCCACATACTATTGAGGCTTACCTTATATTTAAAGATCGTTTAGTGGTTTTCATTCTAATGAATTAAGTACTATTTTTCAGGAGTCTGGTGAAGGCAGAAATTCATCAGACTATAGAGATAACGAAATTAAAAAATGGCAGCTAGCTCCTCTTCGTAAGATGGGACAACCAGTTTTACCTCGGAGATCCTCAGAAGAGAAAAGTGAAAAAATACCAAAAGAGCCTACAACTGTTATTTGCACAGGAGAAAAAGCTTCAAAACCAGGTAGTGAGATTAACAGAAATAATTATATACTAATATATATATATAGCTTATTTAATATACAATTAATTAGTATACTTAGGGAGTTTTTACAAATTTAACATTTTAATGGCAGTAAAAATAGGTAATGTGATTGGCCTTACTTGTAAATAAAAACTGTTGCTCTAAATTCTGGGGAAGCACTAGTAAAATTAAGGTAAGACCCCTCTTCTCATGGCACTTAAATACTAATGGAGGAAGGCAGTAAGTTTGTAAGTAAGAAAATTCCATGTTATTTTACAGTTTGTGAAGAAAAAGTGGAGTCATGGGATAGATAGTCACAACTGGATTGAGTAATTGGGACTTCTGTTTTAGATGGAATGGAGGAGGTAACTTGTGAGGTGGGAAATGGAGGGATGCAAAGATTTTTGGAGGAGATACTAGGTAAGGGACGCATCAAATCTTAAGGCTTTGTGGTAGAAACAAGCGTGACGTTTGAGGAGCAGGAAAGACAGCTACTGTAGAGTGGTTAGAAGATAATTCATGAGGGATAGAATAGTGTTAGAACATGAGGTCAGAGAACATATAGGACCTTTGGGATTATGGCAGAGTTTATATTTTGTTCTGAATGTTGTGGGAAACCTTTAGAGGGTTTTGTACAAGGGAGAACTCTGGTTGCTCTGTACCATTTGGATTGTAGGAGGGCAGGAGAGAAAGAGAGTAGATTCAT